GGGTGAGTGAGCTTGGGGGGAATGGAGGTGTGAATGGGCAGGTGCACAGAGGGTGAGTTCGGGGAGATGCAGGTGTGAGTGGACGGGTGCATGGAGAGTGAGTGAGTTCGGGGGATAAAGGTGTGAATGAGCAGGTATACAGAAGGTGAGTGAGTTTGGGGGGATGCAGGTGTGAATGGGCAGGTGCATGGAGGGTGAGTGAGTTCCGGGGGATAAAGGTGTGAATGGGCGGGTACATGGACATTGAGAGGGTGAGTGTCCAAGAAAGGCTCCACAGAGATGTGAGTGCACATGTGTCCAAAGAATAGATGGACGAGGTGTGAGTCCACAGGTGTGTGTGGGAAAGGTGCTCTCAAGGCTTGACTGGCCTCCTAACCCTGCTCTGATCCCACTGTGCTCAGAAGGCAAGTGGCCCAGCGAAAACAGGCGAGGGCAAGGTCTGAAAGATCTCTGAGTCTTGTCTGGTCCTGACCCCACCTCAGAGCAACTCATTGTATGTTTCCTAGTAAGCAGGAACCCCACTCCTACCCACTCCTCTGTTTCCTCCATCCCAAAATAGATTATGTCCATCTAAGAGGGGCAGGTCCAGAAGGACATTGGGGACCAAGATAGTCCAGGGGATCCCACACTTCCTCCACATTCTCACCATCCCCTGGACATGACCGAGCAGCACTGCTCCCCCAGGTCCATCAGTGGTGTGCTAGGGGGTCCTTCACCCCACGTTGGCTGAGCAAGCTTTCTACACTGTGGCACTGCAGGAGAAGCAGAGGAGAGATGGAATATTCCACAGGCACTCTCTAGCTGCCAGAAAAACACTGCAGTCTGAGCCTGTAGTAAGGAGAGCCTGGCCGTGTTAGGGAAGTCAGAGCCTTCTGCCTCCATGTGTGAGGCTGTCCTGGGCCTCAGTTTTCCTGTCTGCAGAGTGGGATGGCATTGTACCAGCCTTTCTGCAGAACTGTATGCATGTCTAATGTGAAAGCAGTCTATTCCTTCCTGATCAGTCCTCCAACCTCTGCTCCCACCTGTGGACCTCTGAGATGCCCACTCAGTGGACTGACCATAGGGGTCTTAGTCAGAGGCAGAGGCTGGATTGGGACAGGAAAATGGTAAAAACACTGGGATGGAGGGAAACGGTGAGAAGCAGAGGGGGCACGTGGAGGATAAGGATCAATCAGTGCCCATGGCCTCCAGAGTAGCACAGTGGGACCGATCAGTACAGCCCCAGCTTAGCTATCCTTGCACGTACACTGGGCAAGTACCAACTTCTGAGTTTCCAGTTCCTCTCTGGTCTCAAGGCCAGGGCTTTATCTTGTCATCGCTGTCCCCAGAGTCTCAGAGGCAGGCAGCAGAGGCCCTGGCAGGGGCAGGCGTGCAGCAAGGGTGTGAGGCACACAGGGAAGACAACACCAAGAGTAGGCTCTCCATCCTGCGAGCACACTGCCCTGGTTCTGCTGGGAAACGAAGAAAGGGGTGTCCTGGTGCGGCCGGGTCTCCAGCCAGCCTGGGAGCAGGGGACAGACTGCAGCCTCACGCTCTCCTCACACCTGGTTCCTACCACCGTGCCTGCACCCGACAGCACTCAGCCTGTACTCAGGGCCCCCAGAGCCATGTTCAGTAACGCTGTCCTGCCCCTCCAGGCCACCGGAAGAGAAAGCTCCTTGCAACTGCCTCCAGTATCTGAATGGTCAGCCGCAGGCCAAGGAGGGGAACTGACTCCCAAGCCTAGTGTGACAACACAGATGGCTGATTGCAGAGTCCAAAAAGACAAGTTTCAGGGAATCACGCTCTGTGCTGTCACAGGCAGCAGCGGATGGTGTGACACAACTGTGGCCTGCAGCAAGGCTATGAGCCTACTCCTGGGTTTCATCCACTCAGGACTTTATTTTGAGGGTAGGGAGTGACCATGAAGCATTCCACACCCACATCCAGACTCCCGACTGCCACCATTTCCTCCAGCAATCTGGGAAGGACCCAACCATCCCATTAATCAGCGGAGCCCACAGGCTCGAGGCAGGTGCCACATCTCAAATTCAGCACCATGGAGAGCGCCAAAGTCCCAGCATTTGGCACATTTCCAGAAGGACAACAAAACCTCTGGGGAAAGAGCTACAAGTGACAGGGACATCAGAAGACAAAGCAGTAGATAGAGGAGGAATGTAAATCAGAGCCCGGGGAAATGATGAAGTCAAACGCACTCCTTTCAAAGCTCAGCTGAGACTCTGCTCTGTCTTGGTGTTGCAAAGCTCTCTGCCACCGCAGATCCCGGAGGGCCGGGCCGGATCCATTGTAATATTCCTCCAAACCCTTTCAGGAAGGCGCAGCCATGGATCCAATGAGAAGTGGTAATTATATATGTTTTTTAAATCCATTTCACAGAGCGAGCTAATAGCTGCATCTGAGAAGATGCACTCGTTAACAGAAGCAGTGTCAGGGTTCCGTGTCCACCATGGAGACTTGGGGAAAGTTGGTGCCCGCTTGAGACATCATTCAAGGTTAGATTAAAAATAAGAGGGCCCATGAAGATGAACCTGACTCATTAATGCCACTGTCCAACAAGAGCCAATCCCTTGGGGGGCCAGCTTGGGGCTCCTTTTTCTTCTGGGCCTTGGAGCACCTTAATTTGCATTTATATTAAAAAAAGAAGAAAACAAACAGAATTGACTGGGAAGGTATTTTGTTTCCTGTAAACCTGGCTCTTCTGCTGCACAGCTTCTTGGGGCACAGTGAGTGCAGCTCAGTCTGTTTCAGAGTGAGGACGGTGCCACCCCACAGCACTCACCATGGCCACGCAGGCCACACACAGCCCAGACATTTGCTCTCCATGGTCACCCTGGCAGAAGGGGGCTAGACAACGCCCCTTCCACAGCCAGGGAAACAGACTCAGAGCAAGCACCCCCATCCAGGCCAGGCCCTGGCCTCCGAGTGCCGTGTCTGTAACCTGTGCTTCCCGTCCTTGCACAGACATTTCAGCTTGTCATTTGGGGGTGGGGGGAGAGGACATCAGCTGGAAATCCAATCAAGGATATGACGGGGAAAAGATACAGAAGCCCCTGTCCTGGACTGGCAGAGTCCCACGCACCCTCTGGCTAGGGCACCCTTCTGACACTTTGCTTTCTCGGCATTTTCTCTTTTCAGTTCTGTCAGAAGTGCCTGGCCACATCCACGCGGCAGAGTCAAGCACAACTCAATCAAAACTTTATCAGCTCCATCCCTTTACTCCTTTAAGGATAACAGGCATGTTTCTGGGTTTCCTTTGCATCCATCCCTTTGCTCAGTGCTGTTCACTCAACTCCTGGGACCTGCCAAGGGTTTTCTGTGCTCCTCTTGCTAGCCGGAACCAGCACACTCGCAAAGCCACCGCCTGCCGAATGAATCACTGCATACATGCTCCAGGCTGGTGGGTTCTCTCTCCTCCCCGGTCGTGGTCAGTTCCGGAGGCACACTCCTTGCTCCCTAACTCTTGATAAGCAGGCCCAGTCCCCCAGGAGCACCATACTCCACACGCACCGTGTATCACTGACACAGCCCACACTGGAGTTTCAGAACAGAAATGCCAGCAATGACCGCCTGAGCCTCAGATGCTGGGACTGCAGGGGGGGAGGAAGGGAAGGACTCATCTGTGTTTTGGCCACTGGACACAGTGTAGGGCTAAGCTGGTTATGGTGACAACAGAAGGGCCGCTTCCTTCCCAACAGACAAACCTGCACCGATGAATTAAACATTGGAAGAAAGATGACTCTCTGCAAAGTCTTTTCCAGCAAGACAGAGAGACAGACCGTCTTGTGCTGACGCTTCCTGTTGCATATGGCACCAAGAAAGCCTGCTTCAGCACACAGAGCCTTCCCGAGAATAAGATCAAGGGGAAAATTCAGGGAGGGCCAGAGAAGGCAGGGAGGAGTGATGGAGAGGAGAGAGCAAAAGGCTTTTCCCAGGAACTGGATGGGCACAGCAGGGACCAGCCACCACTTGGCCCTGACCATCCAAGGAGGTGGCGTGCTGGAGAGGAAGGGATACAGCGTTGGGACGTGCCTGAGCCCGGAGCCCCAGATCACAGGGTGTCCCCCAGAAATCCCCGATAGAAGTGACTGGCTCTAGTTCCCACAGGTCTCCTTACACCCTCCAGTTCCCCACAGCCAAGTCCTAATGGGGATGCTGTCCAGCACCACCTCTTTGCTCCACCATAGCGTCCTTGGGCACTGAACCTTCAGGCCAGTCAGGCTGCACCCTGGGGGTCCCCTCCCCTGCTGGCACCGATGATGAGCTCCCCTGTTTTCTGGACAAAATCCAGACTGTTCCCTGTCACCGTCTGAGGGTGCGCAGGTGCTGCCCCTTCCTGGGCCTCCACCGCCCCTGGAGGGGCTGACCAGGCTGTCACCCCACCCCAAGCCTTCCAGAGCCAACTCCCTCCTCCCGGGGACCGCTGGTCCAGGCTCTAGAACTCTGGGCAGGGGGAGTCAGGGCTATGGAAGGTAGAAACCAGGGTTCAGGGAGAAAAGATGCCACGGGCTGTGGGGTAGGCTGCCGAAGGTCAGCACCTCCCACGCCCCAGCAGTGCCCCACCGCTGGAGTGCTTCTTGGCACCCCAGGTGCCAGGACATCCTTCTCCAACTCCCCAAGGAGCTAGTAAGTGAAAGCCTTGGCACCCCAGCAGCCCAACCCGCGCCGGGGCGGTGGGTGGGTGGGTGTCTGCTACGGGATTATTCTTAGCGCTCGTCTTCACAAAAGTGGCGCCTCCGCCCTCCGGGCTCCGGCACACTCCACTGGGGCTCACACTCCTGGTCCAGACGCTGCCGGCGCAGAGGGGAGCACGGGCGGGGTCCCCCAGGGGTGAGGCGTCAGGCACAAGAGGTGTGGGCTCCGGGAGGGGAGGGGGCGCGCGGCGGGAGGGGCCCCGCGAGAGGCTGCATTTAACCCTCGGCGCGCTGCACCCCAGCCCGCGCCACGCGCTCTGCCGCCTCTGACTCCTCCGCGAGCCGAGCCGGCGGCGCGCCCAGCCTTACCTATGGTGGTGATGACGGTGATGGCAAAGTAGAAGGAGCCGGCGAATTTCCACTGGACGCCGGCGCGGTGCGGCTCCGACTGCAGGATCACCAGCTCCAGCTGCCGGTAGTCCTCGCTGCTCATGTTGTACTTCCCCTTAATCCGGATCTCCTCGGCTTTGAGTTTCTCCTCCTCGCGCATCTCGTGGTCCGATTCCAGGGCGTCAAAGACGGCGGCGCCCACCAGCAGGTAGGTGAAGGTGCAGACGATGAGGGACAGAGTCCGCACGTTCTGCCTCTTCATGGCCGCCAGCAAGGAGCCGGCGCGGGGGGCATGTCCCGCAGGCTCGCAGCCGCGCGCG